CCTGGAGTCCCAGGATCGAGTCCCACATCGGGCTCCCTGCTCAGCGGGGAGTCTGCTTCTCCCTCTGACCCTCTTCCCTCTCATGTGCTCTCTATCTCCCATTCTCTCTCTCTCAAATAAATAAATAAAATCTTTAAAAAAAATATTTGAAAAAGTACTCTCCTTAAAAAAAAAACAAACACCTGTTGTTAGTTCTCAGGACTTTTTGAACTTTAGAATTGCAGATAAAGATTGTGAGCCTATTAATGGATGCCAAACAAATCTGGGATGCTAGTATGAGAAAAGACAATTTAGCCCAAACTTGTTAAAATATTTGCAAGACTCCTAAAGTAAAACACAGCAGTGTATAAAACAAACAAACATATAGCATGACTCCTCTCTCTCCCATTCTTTGCTCTCTACTTTCAAAATATATCCAGAGTCCCACCCACCACTGCTATTTCCCCCGGTCCACATCACCATATCTCAACTGAATTTTTGTAATAGCTTGCTAACTGACCTCATTCTCTCCCCACAGAAGCCAGAATGGTCCCACTAAAGCACATCAGGTCTTGTCACTCCCCTGGGCAAACCAGAGGAATTCAACCAAATTGAATTCAGAATAAAAGTCAAAGTTCTTACAATCGCCTGCAAAGCCTGACATGGTCGGATCTCCCAGCGGTCTTTCTGGCCTCCCCTCTCACTGCTCTCCCAACAGCTCACTCCACTTGAGCCGCAATGGCCTTAAGACCCCTTGAACTGGAGGGGAAGAAGGAAGACATGAGAGCAACCCCAGGCAAAACACCGCAGAGTCTCACTGTTCTTACCTGAAGTTCACCCGGTGTTCAGGAATAAACACTTCTCAATTTGTTATGTAGCTGAGGCGCACGGGCTCAGGAGCAACTGTGCCAGGTACTAGAGACAAAATCAAATTTATACATTTTTCACTATGCCACACCACTTAATGGATACCTGGTCAGATTCTCCTTGAGAGTGACCTTGTTGGTCCGGAATCGTGCCAGGGACCCAAGGAGATACCATAATCAGATCTCAGAGCCTTATCTCTATGAGCATCTCCTTAGTTTGGCCTGAGGTTGGTGAGGTCAGCTACTGCTTGGCTCTGGGAACACAATAGGCACAGGCCTTGGTGTCAAAGTGGGACAGACAGATACACCTGACTACAGTTACAGGGTGTGTTTTCCTGTTGGCTTCTGGGTTTGGGGATTGTGGCCTCTGTCTGCAGAGGTGGGGGTGAGTGAAGCTTAACTAGGACCTCTGACAAGGACTGGTGGGTAACTCCTGATGGAGGAAGGAGAGAACCAGATGAGCAAAGGCAGAGATGAGAGAAAAGGGCATGTGGTAAGGGCCAGAGTTAATATGGTGGTTGGGGTTGACTTGACACAGCCATGGTCCCTTGTCAAGGGCTCTAGGAGCCTTGTTATCAGCATTCATCAGTGTTTAAGCAGGAAGCTCTGGGGAATTTAGGTTTATTTTGAAGAAAGATCACCCTAGGAAAAAGCTGGAGGGTGGATTGAAGGGAAAAAGCCACCAACTCGTTCCTAGTCAACTGCATTAACCTGGTCTCCAGGATTCCACCCAAATCTTTCAGGCTATAGTGGTCAGAGCACTATCTTAGAATATAAAATGTGACCATGAACTCCCTGATATAACCTTCAGTAGCTTCTCCAAACTGCCAAATCGCTCACATGGCATATGGGGCCCTGCTTGGTGTGGCCTCTGCCCACCTTTCCTGCCTGATCTCACGGTCCTCCCTTGTACGATCTGACCCTTCCATTCCTTGAGTGTGCACAAGTATCTCTCCCTCAAATCTTCTCCCTGCTTCCTCCTCTCCCTGCTTCTTCTTCCTTTAGGCTTCAGCTTAGAGAAGACTTATTTTATTTTAATTTTATTGAGAGAGAGCGTGAGTGCACGCACGGGGCGGGGGGGCGGGGGGGAGGACAGAGGGAGAGAGAATCTTAAGCAGGATGTGTCCAGCTAGGAGCGGGAGGTGGAGAGCGGAGCTTGATCTGCCCACACTGATCATGACCTGAGCCTAAATCAAGAGTACCCCACTTAACCGACTGAGCCACCCGGGTGCCCCCAGGCTTCAGCTTAAATGTGATCTCAAAGAGGTCTTAACCCACAGCTCTATGAAAAATAGGTGGCCCCCATTAGCTTCTACCACAAATGGCCATCTGTGATTTATGTATTGGTTTATTCCAAGAGTCGCAAACTTTTTTCCTAAAGAGTCAGGTGGTAGATATTTCAGGTAAGTCTCCTGATCATGTAGTGTGAAAGCAGCCACAGACAATACTGAAAGAGATGAGCATGACTGTGTTCCAATAAAACTTTATATAAACACTGAAAATTGGATTTCATGAATTTTCACTGTGACAAGATATTTTTGTTAAAAAAAATTCTCCCCATCTATTTAAAAATGTAAAAACCATCTGTAGCTGCCAGGTTGTCCAAGGGCACGCGGGTGGGGGCGGGGCGGCCCGTAGTTTACAGACGGTTTATTACTCGCGGAGCCGGCGTATTCGCCCCAGGCCGGTTTCCACAGCAGTGAGCACAGACCAGGTCAAGTCCCAGCTCCGCAGCTCACTCACCGCGCGGCACCTCCCACCGCCGCTGACGCTGACTGACAGCCGGGGGCGGGGTCTGCGAGCGCCTAGACGCAGGGGCGGGCCCGGAGGGGCGGGGCCGAGGGAAGGGGGCGGGCTGAACGCCGGCTTCCGGCGGGTGAGCGCGGGAGCAAGATGGCCACTACCAAGCGTGTGCTGTACGTGGGTAAGCAAGCGCGGAACTAGGCGGAATCGGGGCTGACCGACCCGGAGTGGGTCTCGGCGTGGGGCAGGAACGCGTCTACGGTCGCGGAGGGTGGCGAGCCTTTGTCTAGGCCGGATCGATGGCGGTGTTGCTTTGCTTCTGGGACCTAGCTGCAGACGTAGCGGTCTTTCCGGCTCCCTTCCAAGCCGGCTGAGCTTTAACAGGAACCCCTTCACCTGCTGGGCCGGGAGGATTGGTAGAGGAATATTATGAGGCTCCAGATCTTCGCGCTCTTTCATTTTACAGACCTTCACTGCAGCGATGGCTCTGCCCTGGCCCCTGCCCCTTTAAAGGAGGGAGTTCCCAGACTAACCCGGTAGAAGTGAGAATAACCCCCATAGCGAAGTTTGATGAGCGCTTTGTAGGCAAAGTGGAGGCAGTTGTGTTTACTGAAAGGGAGCAGCAAGAGCAAAAACCCGAAGGTGTGAAACAGCCTTACACATGGAGCAAAGGGGTCATCTTGCGGGAAACCCAGAGAATTGAGGAAGCAAAGGAAAGAGGGTGAAATGATTGGCAGGGCCCAGGTTATAAAGAGCCTTGTTGTGTACGCTGCCAAGGAGTTTGTACTTTCTCCTGAGGACAGTGGGGAATCTTTGAAGGAGTTTAAGCAAGTTTAAACTCCTTTAAACTGATGGGTTAAAATCTGCATGTTCCCAGGATCGCTCTAGTTGGCTGTGTGGAGGAGAGGGAGGCCAGTTTAAGAAGCTATTGCAGTAATCCTGGCTCTAAGATGAGCGTCTGCAAGAAGGGTGAAGAAGTGTGTTTCATAATTATGGGGGAGGGAGCAAATGAGATCGTGCTTATGTACCCAAAGGACTGGATGGAACAGCCCCTCTCCTTGGCTATCACATGCTAACTGGGCTGCAGGGACTTCTCAAGAGAATGGAGGACAGTGGCTCAGAAGGCGCTTGGCATCTTTGCAGGTGGGTTGGCAGAGGAGGTGGACGACAAAGTTCTTCATGCCGCCTTTATCCCTTTTGGAGACATCACAGATATTCAGATTCCTCTGGATTATGAAACAGGTGAGTCTTTTTCATGTCATGTTCAGAATCCTAAGAGGAAAAGAATTTGAAAAAAGTTCTAAATATACATTGTAAATATGGTTGATATGTAGGAAAGTTCAAGAGGGTGCCTCATTAGGGCAGCAGGACAGTGATCTTGATGCAGAAGGAATGTTCTGAGGCTTGTGGTTATGTGCAACATAACTTTGCAGAGGGTCCCATCTGTTGAGTGTGAGATACCAAATTTTCAATAGCCTAATAGGAAGATAGGTTTTGAGCTACATGGAGATCTGACTGTTGTTTCAAACTACCTGCTGGGTACCCCACCACCCCTGCTCCTTTCTTGGCAGCTGTAATGTTAATCAGGGCAGCAGGGAAGCTCAGCCCCAACCAAGGGGCTTTGGCCTCTGCTCTCCTGGGGCAGATTTCCTTCAATTGGTATCACAGGTACAGTGCAGTTTTTCTATTTTGCCTTCGTTGTCATTTTTTTTTGAAAGATTTATTTATTTATTTTAGAGAGAGGGCCGAGCACAGGAGTGGGGGGAGGGTCAGAGGGAGAGAATCTCAAGCAGACTCCCTGCTGAGCGAGGACCCCACCCCCACCCCAACTCAGGGCCTGATCTCACTACCCATGAGATCATGACCTGAGCCAAAATCACGAGTTGGGCGATTAACCGACTGAGCCATCCAGGTGCCCCAGTTAGTTGTTAGTTAAATTTTTAAGACTGGAGTTTTAGGCCTAAATCTGTCATTGACCCTGCCTGATTATTAGCAAGGTCTTTAAACTCTCTGGGCCTGGGATCTTTATCTGTAAAAAACAATATGGGCATACTTTGGAGATATTACAGGTTTGGCTCCAGACCACCACAACCAAACCAATATCGCAATAAAACAAGTCAAATGAAATTTTTGGTTTCCTAGTGCAAATAGAAGTTAGGTAACTATATTGCAGTCTATTAGGTGTGTAATAGCATTATGTCTAAAAAAAATAATGTACCACCTAAATTTAAAAATACTTTAGGGGCGGGGCACCTGGGTGGCTCAGTCGTTAAGCACCTGCCTTCAGCTCAGGTCATGATCCCAGAGTCCTGGGATCGAGCCCCACATTGGGCTCCCTGCTTGGCGGGAAGCCTGCTTCTCCCTCTCCCATTCCCCTGCTTGTGTTCCCTCTCTCGCTGTGTCTCTCTCTCTGTCGAATAAATAAATAAAATCTTTTAAAAAATAAATAAAAAATAAAATACTTTAGGGGCGCCTGGGTGGCTCAGTTGGTTACGTGTCTGTCCCTTCAGCTCAGGTCATGATCCCAGGGTCCTGGGATTGAGCCCCGCATTGGGCTCCCTGCTCAGCGGGGAGTCTGCTTCTCCCTCTCCCTTCGCTGCTCCCCTGCTTGTGCTTTCTTGCTCTGTCAAATAAATAAATAAAATCTTAAAAAAAAATACTATATTGCTGGGGCAGCTGGGTGGCTCAGTTGGTTAAGCATCTGCCTTTGGTCCAGTTCATGATCTCAGGGCACCTGGGTGGCTCAGTTGGTTAAGCATCTGCCTTTGGTCCAGTTCATGATCTCAGGGCACCTGGGTGGCTCAGTTGGTTAAGCATCTGCCTTTGGTCCAGGTCATGATCTCAGGGTCCTGGAATTGAGCCCCGAGTTGGGCTTCCGGCTCAGTGGGGAATCTGCTTCTCCCTCTCCCTCTGCCCCACCCCCGCTTGTACGTACACTCTCTCAAATAAATAAAATCTTTTAAAAAATGCTTTATTACTAAAAAATGCTAACCATTCTATGAGCTTTCAGCGAGTTGTAAACACTGATCACAGATCACCATAACAAATAGAATAGTAATGAAAAAGTTTGAAATACTGTGAGAATTACCAAAATGTGACACAAAACATAAAGTGAGCAAATGCTGTCGGAAAACTGGTGCCATTAGAGTTGCTTGATGCAGGGGTCCCTTCGGTTTGTAAAAAACTGTGAGATCTATGAGGTGCAGGAAAGCAAAGTGCAGTAAAATGAGGTATGCCTGTAAGGTTATGTTCGCTCTCTAAAGTTAGTTGGTTTCATTAAATGAACACTGTTGTGCTTGGCCTTTCAAGTTAGAGGAGCGTTTTTCTGAGGATAAAGAGTGAGCATCCTAATTCATGTTTTAGGATTCGTGCTTTAGGCATAGTTGATGCTCAAAATGTGGGATCAATAATTGAGAAGTTAAATAACTTCATGTTTTTACTTGCCTTGTATGCAGAGGTTAAGGTTTTAATTTGGCTTTGGTAGAAGAACTGACTGCCTGAAAGATCAAAAGTATAGCTCATTATTTAGCTATGTTTTCTAAAAGACAAAGTTCAATATTGCTTGAAATGTTTAAAAACTGGGAAGAATTGAAGAAGGAAATTGCTTCTTACAAAATAGTGATTGGGTAGAATTTCTAGTGTCAGGATATGGCATGTGATTGACTTCACTTTCCTTGTGACCATGTTTCTTCCCATTGCCCCCCATGGTAATTACTTGTTTTTGTTTTCCCCTTTTTTTTTTTCAGAAAAGCACCGAGGATTTGCTTTTGTTGAATTTGAGTTGGCAGAGGTGAGAAAATTCTGTGTGACCTGTGTTTAGTCTTTGGCTTATTTGAGTGTTGTTAGTGGTTACAAAGGCAGCTGGATTCCGTTTGGTTAGGTTTCTAGGCCTCTTGCTGATGCTTCCATAGAGACAGGATGTGCTGCTTGATGGAAAGCTTCCCTCAGTCAAATTCTAGACTGTTAACAGCATAGACATGCCCCTCTTGCTCTGCCGAGCTCCTGTAGCTCTGCTCACTGAGGCTTCTTGCCTGGCAGCGCTGGTGAATATTTCTTAAGCCTTTCTGGACATGGCAGATTGCTGCACCACCAGCTCTGAACTCAGCCAGGAAGTGCTCTTTGTTAGAGACACATACAATCTCAGCAAGAGGTATAGATGTGACTTCTTCCTCTTTTGTTTGGTTTTACTTTGTTTTTCTGTTGCTGAGTATATGTTTAGACACCACAAGAAGCTAAACTTGACCTTGTCTTTTCTCGGCAGGATGCCGCAGCAGCTATTGACAACATGGTATGGCTGAGAATCTTCATTCTTACCGAAGTTGCTTTTGGGTGGTACAGAGGGTCCTTGTGCATCTGTTGGTTTGCCGAACTGCCAAGTTACAAGGTTGCACGGGGAAGCAAAAGCTGTCATTGTGTGAAAAGATTTACTGTGAATCGATCACTTTTAAGACCGGTCCTTACTCGAACGTCCTTCCCTGTTTAACAGTGATATAAATACGAATCCTTGTTATAGGCCAGTCTCTCACTGGCTGCCCCATGTCTAGGATAATAAATTGCAAACACTATGTAAATTGATTGCACAGTGAAATAGCATATTTTGCAGAAGAGGCAGAATTTCCTAAAGCCTTAGAGCAATTACAAGTGAGGAGAAATTTCTAGTAAGGGTAATGGCAGGGTATGCTACTGATGCCAGTGATTTAAATATCCTGGAGAGGTCTTTGGGAGTAATGATGAAACGCTGGAGTATTTGTGTCCTCTTTGAGGTCTTTGTGATTTTCACATCAGATAGGAAGTGCAATGATGTCATATCATACTGTTGATAGAATTTTGTTGGAAAAAACACTGCACATTAACCAGCACCTGTTAGATCTTTGCTCTACAAATTAGTACGTAAAACTGAAATTTATAATAAATTTATTTCCCTTATTTTCAGTTTCATCACAATAAAGTCCCATTCCTTTTTTTTTTTCTTCACTTTTTACTGTGACATTTTCTTCACTGCTCTAAATGGATTTATGTGAAGTGACCGTTCCTGGTACCAATTATCTTTGGAGGATAAAGTTCTTTATTCCTGTTCTGTTACCTGACCATCTTCCTCAGCCCCCAGAGATCATTTCTCACCATTTCAAAGCAGATCTTGACTTTTGAAGGTGAACTCAAGTACTTGGAAACTGCTTGTATCCTTGTAATCCTAGGGCACTCTGGACCTGGAGTCACTTTCAGGAGCACAGGTCTTTGCTAGTATGAGAGAAAGGAGGTGTGTGGTGGAGGGAAATTGCCTGCAACCTGTGGGCCGCTGTGCGGCGGGCACAGAGCTTGCTGTTAGGGGCTCACGGGTTAAGGGAGAACAAATCATGAGCATGTCTCGGATGTATCAAAACCAAATGCAAAGCTGTCTGACTCTCTTAACCTGACAGAGTTGAAGCAGCTGGGTGTTCAATCTTTACAGAATGAATCTGAGCTCTTTGGACGGACAATTCGTGTCAATTTGGCAAAACCAATGAGGATTAAGGAGGGCTCGTCCAGGCCAGGTGAGTGGGGGCAACCACAGGTTCCCTGTCATTTCTTCCAGTGTGGCCTTAGTTGCATTTTTATCCCCATTTACTTGGAAATAGGTGCTGATTGCCACTCTGGATGCAGAGGGGTAGAGAATGATTCATGTTGGCAGAGGGCATGAGCCACCTTTGTAGGGAATGAAAAAGAGTTTGAGCTTCTCAGAGAAATTGTTTGCATTGAGAGAAACCCTGCCTGCTCGCTTCTCTTGCCCAGTTTCCTCAGCGTTGGTTCCTGAGATGCTCCCGTCCAGGGCTGGAACTGGCAAGGCTACACCTTCCGTCTTGGCATAGTTTTTTTACTTAGCCTTGTAAGAGCTGGACTTCAGGGCTGACCTTCCCAGTGGAAACGTTATACTTGGGAGTTCCCTCAGTGAAGCCTCCAGCTGAGAGGGCCACTGAGTGTGTTCCACTTTGCTGACCAAAGCAGCTAGCGAGCAATTGGCCGAGAAGCTTGCATTTCTTAGCATTTGTTCAATTCTTTTCCTTTCAGTGTGGTCAGATGATGACTGGCTGAAGAAGTTTTCTGGGAAGACTCTCGAAGAGAATAAAGAGGAAGAAGGGTTGGAGCCTCCCAAAGTAGAAACCCAGGAGGTGAGATTGAAGGCATGCGCTTCCCCGCAAGGGGCTGGCACTTTCCACAGGAGCCTTTTTTTTTTTTCTTTAAAGTTTTTGTGGAAATTTGCAAGTACATATACAGAAGCAGAGAGAATGAAAAACGAAGTCTTAGTATTGTGGTACAGGTGGTATTGAGTGAGTACAAGAGAAGCTCTGGGTCTCTCACCTTTGTGCTCTGTGTAATGAGCTGTTCCACTCTGCCCAGTCCTGCCCAGACCTGGGTTGGGATTGCCTGAGGTGAGGAAGGCGAGTGGGTGCTCCTCTTCACCCCTCCTGCCCAGTCCCTCCTTCACTAAAGCGCTTTGCACAGGCTCACGGTCTCCCTGTCCCTGCCCCGATGCCGGGGAGGCAGGCCAGGGTGGTGGCACCTTCCCTCAGTCTGCACGCAGGTTCGAGGCTGTCCCTCACCAGGAGCAGCCTGCTGGCAGCTCTCTTCTGACTCTGGGCACCCTCTCTGGCTGGCTCCTTAGGCTTTCCCTCTCCCCCCTGTGAGTGCTGTTCTCTGGATCTCTTTCTTGGCTCACGGCACCCCTCTCCCTCTCCCCTTCTCCTCTTGGCTGAAACGCTAGCAGTCACGGGTTTTTTGCAGCCTCTCCTGGCCTCTGTTCCTAGGGTCAAGCTGCACACATTTCGGCCGCAAGTGTCACAGGCAGTTTCGAGTTGCCCAGAATGGGTGCCCTCCTCTCTCCAATCTTGTTCTTCGTCTTGTTGATTTGCCACCATCCATCCGCACACACACTGACCCAAGCCAGAAATTTGGTTGCAAAGCAGAGCACACACATGGCCTTCACAGTCAGAGATGCCCTCTGTCAGACAGCCAGCACATCATCACATGCTGCTGAGGTTTCCTCTCAGACCTTCCCGAGTCTCCCTCCCCAGTTTGTCCCACTGCCCCCAGCAGCCTCTTCTCCTGCACGTACTTGCCGAAGCTTCCTAACTAGTCTCTGGTGCGCTGTTCTCTAGTCCTTCATCAAGACAGCTAGAATGATCTGCTGAAGGCACAGACTGATGCCCTGACTCCTGCTGAGAACTTTTCAGTGGCTCCCATCACCCATCCCAAGGGATAAAGGTGGGGGGGTTGCTCCCCAGCTCCTGTCCCCCCACCTGGCCGTCTCATTTCCACCCTCTGGAAACCCAGTCTGTTTCCCTGTACATCCTTGCTTTTGTGCAGGCTGCCCAAGTGTTTATTGCCTGTCCCTTTCTAGGCAGGGATTCTATGAGGTTAGGGGCCTTGTATTCAACATCTTATAACTAAAAAGTGAGGTGGAGGAATGTAGTTTAGAGCATGGGGTTGGGGGTGGGGTGGGATGATTTAGGTTTGAATTCCAGCTTCACCCCTTACCACCCTCTGGGTTTGGACAAGTGACTGCACTTCACTGTACCTCCGTTGCTCCACCTATAAAATGCAGATAAATAGTGGTACGGCTTGTTGCTCAGGATGGTTGTAAAGAGTTGATGAGCTAACATATGTAAACGGGGAGAACAGCCCCCTGCCCGTGGCAAGTGCTCTGCGCGTGGTTGCTGTTGCTGGCGGCAGATGACAGCAACCGTGTCCTCCAGCACTGGACCTCAGCACACGTCGGCTAAACTGAACCCCAAACCAGTTGTGAACATTTGACTTTTCTCTTTGGAACACATGTGATGCCCGCAGACGTCTCCTCGGGGTAGAAAACAGGGCCCCTCCTTCCCCCACTGTCCTCTGAGCACGCCAGAGGGCTGCCTCCTGGCTTCCCTTGTAGCCAGCCTGGGGGTCTGCAGGGCCGCGCGTAGAGGAGGAGGATGTTGTGAGGTGGCTTTGTGGGTGTGGAGAGGCATGCATTGCGGGCCAGGGAGCTGGGGTTCTGGGACCGCAGGCCAGGGTGCAGTGAGCTGGTGTCTGAGGGTGAGTGGGACATGGTTCCGAGCCTGCAGGGGGCGGGGGGACTGAGTTAGCTGGTGCTCGGGAGTCCCGGCCCTGGGGGTCCGGCTGGCGGCACCTTGCTGCAGCCCACTCGCTGCACTTGGGTTCTTGGTGTGTATGCAGAATACCCGCTCTCCAACTTGCGGAGTCAGAGTGCTCCCCAACCTGACATTTCTTCTGCGCCCAGGGAGAGCCCACGGCAAAAAAGGCCCGGTCGAATCCTCAGGTGTACATGGACATCAAGATCGGGAACAAGCCAGCCGGCCGCATCCGGATGTTGCTGCGTTCCGACATTGTTCCCATGACAGCAGGTGAGCCGGCTGCGGGCCGGATGCTGGTGGCTGCAGGCGGGGTGCCGGGGGCTGAGCAGGGGGCCTTCCCCAGGTTCTCACTGCCTCCGCTCCTGTGCTCTTGACAACCGCTGACCTGAGTGGATTTGAGGCATCTCAGATCCTGGGATCTAGTAACAGATTGAGTCTGACCAGGCACTTTTGAAGCTTTATAGGTGCTGCTTTGCTATTTTTTAATAATAAGAGGGTTTTTTTTTTCAATGTAAGTAAACATGTATTCGTGGTTAAAAAAGCAAACAAAACCCCCAAAAAACTGTACATATTCGAACGATACTGAAGGCAGTAAAGTAGAAAACATCCATGTTCCCCCCTTCCATGTCCAGTTTTACTCTCCAGAAGTAACTGCTGTTAACTAACAGTTTCTTGAGTCTCTCTAGTGTAAATATTGACTTCTACTCATTCTTTTCTTTTTTTTTAATCTAAATTTTATTATGTAGACATACAGTTTACAAAGTCAATTTCACAAAGCTTGTTTTGAAAAACAGCAGTCCCCTGGCCCCCGGTACTGGCCCCTGGCCTTGGTGCCCTGACGCCATCTGCGGCTCCTCGGAGGCAGCCAGTTTTCAACTCTCAGCTGGTTCTTCCGGTTTTTATCTCCGTTTTGGTAGATAAGAGATTTATGTTGCTATTTCCTGGTTTTTTTTGTTTTAGACATCTGTTGGCTTCTCACTTCAGGAGATAAGGAATCAGCTGTTGAAATCCCTTTCGCTGCCCCTTCATCTTCCTCATAGAGTTACCATAAGTTTGCTTAGTCCAGAGGTTATTCTGACTACGTAAGCATCGTACTAGGGTAACCTCCTTTCACGCACAGCATTTTGCTTTCCTGGGATTCGTAATTGTCTTGTTTTCACACAAGCTTAGTCTTCGGTGCATTTATTCCTGATGCTCCCCCTAATTCTGCTGCCTGTGTAAATATCTCATCAGGTTCACACACCCCAGGTCTTCTGTCAGTCTCCCTCTCCTGTACAAGTTCCTCTCTGGAGCCTCTGACTCTTCTGCCTGGACACGGCTTTCCAGGCCCACTGCACAGCGAGTGTCGTAGGGTCTCTTGTGTTCGCCTCTTAGGTTGGACTCTGTTATCTTCTTTTTTGGTGCATTCCCTCATTTTAGTAGAAGACATCCTTCTGTAGCTTCTGCAGCAAAGAACTTGGGAAGTAAGTTTTTTGAGAGTGAAGACTAAATATATGTACCTTCCCACTTGATGGTTAGGGTATAGAATTCTAGAGAAGTCTAATGTCATTCTGATTCTTGATCCTTTATATAAAACTTCTTTTCTGTCTAGTCCTGAGCTGTTTAGTATAGTAGCCACTCACCATATGAGTGGCAATTAAATAAAATTAAAATTCATTTATTCAGTTACATTAGCCAGGTGCTTAAGAGCTATTCCCAGCCCTACCTAGATAGAGGCTTGCAGGGTATCTGTCCGGTGTCCTGAAACCGTACGCCTTTGGATAGACCTTACATGGATCTGGATATTCAGTGGGCCTCACTGTATTCGTTTTCTCTTGCTGTTGTCACAGATTACCACAAACTTAGTGGCTTATGACAACACAAATTTATTATCTCCCAATCTGTAGGCCAGAAGTCCTGTAGGCTACAATGAAGATGGTGGCCGGGTCACTGCCTTCCCTACTGGAAGCTCTAGGGGAGGATGTTTCCGGGGATATTCACGTTGTTGGCAGAATTCAGTTCCCTGTATCTGTAGGACTGAGGTACCCCATTTCCCTGCTGCTGTCAGCTGAGGGCTATTCCCAGCTTCTGGAGGCTCGCAGCCCCCCTTTTCCTCCACCTTCAGAGCCAACAGTGGTGGATCCAGTCCCTCCCACATTTTGAATCTCTCTTTCTAACCCTAGCTGGGAAAAATTCTGTCACAGGCTCATGATTATATTAGGCCCATCTGGATAATTGGGGTTGCTTTCCCCATCTCGAGGTCCATCCATAACCCTAATCACGTCTGCAACGGCAAGGACATCTTTAGGGGGCCATTACTCTGTGTACCACACCCACAGGACAGTGTTTTATCCTCTGGTTGGGAAAATTTCTTTCAATTATTTCTTCACTTTTGTCCCCTCTGATTTCTCTCTTCTTTCTGGGACCTTCCTAAGTGTTCTTTTTCTATAACACTCTGTGCTTATTTCCCAGAGGTAATATCACTTCATCTTTCCAGGGACATTAGTAAAGTTTTTTCTTCCTATAGTTTATGTCTCAAATCACTTTTTCCTGAGTTAATTATGTTTTGTTTTGTGTTTGGTCTATTTGTTTTGGTCTTTGCTTTTCACATTAGATGCTTTCCTCACCTAAGCAATGGTAAGGCTTGCTGGCTGTGGCTTCCGCGGTGGGGTGATTCAGTTGGGGTCTTTCTCTGTCAGACCCCAGTTGTCCGTTTCCCTGACTTCCCTTCTCTTGGACAGCTTGGAGTCCTCTGAGAAGAGTCTAGCCTCCTGCTGGAGGCTCTGCATCCAGTTATTAGCCATCGTGGCAGCGGCGGGAGATGGGGGCAGTATATAAACTTTCACTTAATCTCTGTTTGTCATTACCGTACCTCAGCCCCCGGCAATGTCTAGTATATCCCAGTCCAGAGACCTCTGCTTTAACCTACCAGAGAGCAGACCTCCAGCCGGCTGCCCGCAGGGGTCAGGGGAGGATCTGGGGGTTGGCTATTTTCTTAAATAGGCTTTCAACCAACTTTACTGTTTTTAGAACTACTTTCACCCTTGTACCTGAGCTTTTGGCATTTCTGCAACATAAAGTGAGTTGCTTCTCAGCTCTACCAGCTTAAGATTTAGCTTTCTTTTCTTTTGTCTTAAATGTTTCAAGTTTTTATTTAAATTCTAGTTAGTTAACATACAGTATAATAGTGGTTTCGGGAGTAGAATTTAGTGATTCATCACTTACGGTTTGCTTCCCTCTCTTTTTTTTTTTCTTTCCCCTTTGCTCATCTGTTTTGTTTTTTAAATTCCACATATGAGTGAAATCATGTGGTATTTGTCTTTCTCTGACTGACTTATTCCGCTTAGCATAATACCCTCTAGTTCCATCCACGTCATTGCAGATGCAAGATTTCATTCCTTTCTATGAATGAGTGATATTCCATTGTATATATACACCACATCTTCTTTATCCATGCATCAGTCGTGGACATCTGGGCTCCTTCCATAATTTGGCTATTGTTGATAATGCTGCTGTAAGCATCGGGGTGTAGCTGCCGAGATTCAGCTTTCTCAAGTCTGCTACATCGCCTATGATCCATCTGTTTGTTTTCTAGCTTTCAAAACTTTTATGTTGCTGTTGTATCCCCTCTCTCTTGCTCTCTTTTTTTCTGGCCTTTTTAACCTTTTTTTTTTTTTTTTTAAGATTTTATTTATTTGAGTCAATTCCTGTCTCCCATCCTCCTGCCCGTCAGCACAGTTCAAATAGAGCAGTTCCTTGAGTCCTACTCAGCCTGTGGCAGAACAAAATTGCGGAGTTTTTAATCATTCAGAGGGAATCCTCCAGCTGGCCCTGCTTCTCCCTGAAGAGGGGACCCAGGACCAACAGTTAAGTGGGAAGACCCACTCCCTGGCGCTGCTCTTGGGGGGCCCAAGTCCTTCTGATCGAGGCCCAAAAGAAAAAAAAGAAGAAGAAGAAAAGCTTGGTGTGAAGCAGGAGAGAGTGAGGATTAACTGGACATATACCAGGGTCTCACTGCCTACAATCTTGATGACATTAGATGAACAACAGAGGAAGCTAGTGCGCTTTCCTGCTGAATTTTACATATATCTGGCCCAGGAAGTGGAGAATAAAATAAAGGAAATCCAGTGTATGGAGACTAAACAGCATTAGTAGCTCTACTGAGAAGCCTGCAAATTGAGAGAATGAAACCTCTGGCCATAAACCACGTTAAGGACTTGGAAGCAGATCCACCAATCCTTAAATGCAAAGACTGTTGTCTGGACTGACAGCTTGATTGAAACTTAATAAAAGACCCTGGAACAGAACCATCCAACTAAGCATCCACTCCCAGAATCTTGACCCTTAGAACTTGAGTAAATAAACGTTTGTTTTTTTAATCTGAAAAAGTATGGGATAGATTTTAATGCAGCACTAGTTGACTAGTATCAATGTTAGTATCTGGAAGTAGAGTGCTGTCACAACTACAACCTAAAATGAGGGAATGGTCTTGGAATGGACCGTGGGCTTTGAGGAGAGTTTAGTGAAAACTTAGAATACCTTGAACTTAACCACCTGTAGAGGTTTGGACTTTGAGCATGCTATAGATAAGAACTCTCCAGAAGGTGAAGAATATTTTATTGGAAACTGGAGAAAAGGATATCTTTGTTATGTAGTGGCAGAAAGTTTAGCAATTCTGTTGCCTACAGAATTGGAAAGTAGAAAATATATATGCTCTATGGAAAGTAGAAAATTAATAAACTGGGTGATCTGGGTAAGAAGATTTACAACCAAAGAAGTGCCACCTATTGTAGTCTTTTTTTTTTTTTCTTGCTCTTTAGAGTGAAATGCAAGAGGACAGTGACAAACTGTTAAGAATGAACAAAGGAAAACTGTTAAACAGAAAGGGGTCAAAACATCACGATTTTGAAGTTTCTCAGCCTCTTCAGCAGGCAAATGATACTAAAATTAAGAAATTATTATGGAGCAAAGATTAAATCTAGGTTTAGCAAGACAAATAGGGTCTAAAGATGAAGCTGAGAGTATGATTACAAAATTTTTTATTAAGCCCTCAAAAAATCAAAGGTAATATCTTAGAGTACCTTTACATAAAACAAAAGCCCTTGTAAGGAAATTAAGTATACACCTCATAGATCCTCTCAATCAAATAATAGTGCTCCTAAGTAGCTTAAGGGTGTTCTATCATAACAGTCTCAGCAGTAGCCCAAAGAACAGAAGGGCTTAATCTTGAAGAGATATATGGTTTTACCCTTTGTCAAGGGAACTAACACCTAAAATGATCTAGAGGACACCCAAAATATTTTTAGAGTTATATTGGAAGTACTGTCATTTTGGATTGAAATGGACAAGGAATACAAAATGAAGGGTTTATTCCAATGCTAAAACTTTATCAGCGGGAAGCAAATAGAAAACTACTCAGATGTCAACATGTGATTGTTACCCTTCATGAAAAAGGCGGTGCAGAGGACAGAACCATGAGAACAGAGCACAGAACGAATGGTGAAATATTTCTATAAAGGAAACTTCCCCTGATCTACTATTTTATTACTCGATATACCTTATATAGGAAATACAGGATGAATGCATCACTCTTTCCCTCTACTTTCTAATTTTTTTTCTAATTTTTTTAAAGAATGAGTTTATTCCCAATATGCAGCAATTTCTGCATATTCTTCCTGAGCAGCATCATATGCTTCTTAAGTTCTTTCAATTTTTTTGCAGCGAGGTCATTGAAATGAGGAGTAAAGATCTCTGTTTTAGGAGTGTTTATTGGGCCTTGATCTACCCTTTGAATGTTTTAATATCAAATAGCAAGTCAGAATGTTCAAATCTACTTCTTGTACTTTCCTCTACCCCCTCTCTGCCTCACATCCTGATTTTCAGCTGCCTTGTTGGAAAGAGAAGAGCCCTTCCTGCTGGTTGACAGTTCTGATAAATCATATAACTCTGCTGATAATGGTAAAAGTTTTAAGTTTAAGACTATGAGATCTGGTTTTCCACATGAAAATGGGAATTTGGAAATTTGTAAAACCCTTTTTTCCCAATAAAGCTTGGATTTTGAAATAAAAAAAAAAGATTTTATTTATTTGACAGCACAAGCAGGCAGAGCGGCAGGCAGAGGGAGAGGGAGAAGCAGGCTCCCCGTGGAGCAGGGAGCCCGATGTGGGGCTCGATCCCAGGACTCTGGGACCGTGACCTGAGCCGAAGGCAGATGCTTAACGACTGAGCCACCCAGGCGCCCCACTTTTTAACCAGTTTTAAGTGTATAGTCCAGCGGTGTTGATTGCATTCACGACACTGTACAACCATCGCTGCTGTCTTCAGAATGTGCCCACCCCATACCGAGCTGTGGAGCCCATTAACCCTCTCCTCATTGTCTCCCTCCCGCCCTGGTGGCCTCTAATCTACTCCCCACCTCTGGATTTGCCTGTTCTAGACATGTCTTAGAAATAGAATCATACAATATGTGGCCTTTCCTTTGTAACTGGCTTTTTTTACTTAGCGTGTTTCAAGGTTCATCCGTGTTATAGTACGTGTTGGGGTTCCATCCCTTTTTTATGGCTGAATAATATCCCATCGTCTGGATATGTGACATGTTGTTCGTTCATTTGTTGATGGATACGAGCATTGTTTCCACTTTCTGGCTATCATGAATAATGCTGCCGTGGACATTCGTGTACAAGTGTGTGTTTGAATGCCTTTTGTCAGCTCTTTTGCGTACATACCTAGGGGTGGAAATGTACTCACCTGGCAGTTCTGTGTTTACCTTTTTGAGAAATTGCTTAACTCTTTTCTAACATGGCTGCACATTACATTCCCACCTCCAATGTATGAGGGTCTCAGTTTCTTCATATTCCTGCCAACACTCATTATTGTCTGTTGGTGATGGCCATCCTAATGGGTATGAAGCAGTATCTAATTGTGGTTTTGATTTGCATTTCCCTAATGACCAATGGTGTTGAACATTTTTTCGTGTGCTTGTGGGTCATTTGTAGATCTTTGGAGAAATGTCTCTTCAAGTCTTTACCTATTTATCAACTGGGTTGTTCGTCTTTCTCTTATCGAGTTAGAGGAGTTCATTGTTTATTCTGGGTATTGAACTCTCACCAGATAAGATTTGCAAATACTTTCTCCTGTTCTGTGGGTTGCCTTGTCTGTTGAGTGTCCTCTGATGCCCAAATGTTTTTAGTTTTGATGAGGTCATTTATTTTTTCTCTTTTGTTATCTATGCTTTGGGTGTCATATTTAAGAAACTGTTACCAAATCCAGAGTCATGAAGATTTGCCCCTGTGTTTTCTTCTAAGATCCTGTTTGGTTTTTCTTTAAAAAAAAAATCAGTTGCCCTCCATTTAGAGTGGAGCAGAGTTGGAATGCAGGTATTCAATTTTCCTTCTTAACCAGAGTCCCTCTGGTCCTTCACAGTGTAAGGATCACAAAGGTTTGGAATACACGGCATACTTTTCATTGAAGGTACAAACACTAAACAAATAGTTTATCAGAATTTAGCTACAGAGGTTTTGGGTTTTTTTGTTTTTTGCGGGGGAGGGGTTGTTTTTGTTTTGTTGTTTGCTCAAAAGACTTTTGTGTTATTAGAGTACATGGGCTAGGAGTGACGGGAGGGGGTAGCTCGTGGGCAACCACTGTCCTGACCAGTATCAGATGCCCATCCCGATGGCCACCAATGTGCCAGAGGTGCCGCCACACTGCACGGCCTCACGGTTTTCCCGATGCGGCCCACCAGCTCCCAGCCCTGCATCCCGATCCCGGCCCACATGGCCACTGTGCGGCCCATCCCAGAGCCCATCTTCACATGGTCGAAACAGCTTGGTTGGGACTGTCCGTGGGGATCCACGGCCCCTGGCATCTCGCTCATGGCTTCAGTGGCTCCCTTCCATGTCTCCTGTGGCACACGAGGCAGAGCGTACCCACGGCCCGAGGAACGGCTGTTTTGTTTTCTGACCTCCGCACCTTTTCCTTTCTCCATGCCAGAGAATTTCCGATGCCTGTGCACCCATGAGAAGGGCTTCGGCTTTAAGGGAAGTAGCTTCCACCGCATCATCCCTCAGTTCATGTGTCAGGGCGGTGATTTCACGAACCACAACGGCACGGGGGGCAAGTCCATCTATGGGAAGAAGTTCGACGATGAGAACTTTATCCTCAAACACACGGGACCAGGTGGGAGCTGATGGGGTGCGGTGGCGGGGGCGGGTGGCGGGGAGACGGTGGCTCGGGTCTGCAGGCGATCCAGCTGATGACCCAGCGGCAGCATGCGGCCTGGCCGGAGTTGGGGAAGCAGCTTCCATGTGTCCACTCCTCACCCCCTGCACACCCCCTGAGGTCTAGCTCCAGTTCTGGGGCCTGCCATGGTGAGCTGGGCAGCCCTGCTGCCTCGTCCTGTCAGACATACCCTTCTGTGAGTGGTCGGTCCCCCCACGACTAGAGAAAGCTCTGTGCTGAGTGGTCATCTTGAAATTTAGGATGCACTTCTTCTGGGGCCTGGCAGTGTTACTAGAGCCCCTCAGTTAATCATGCTCCGTCCCCGTCAGATGACGGTTGCTCGCTCCCTCCCTCCTGAAGCCTCCACGTCGCCCTCCAAGCTGATGCGTGGCCCCCTGCGTCCCCCCGCCACGCGCCCGCTCTGCCTTCCCTCCGAGGACAGGGCATGAGCTGTCTCCCTGCGGCCAGCCCCTCTGCCCGTGGCCTGGACCCCATCCCCTCTCTCCCACCTAGGAGTGTGGCTTCTGTAGCTGTCCCCCTGCTGCCTTGTGGCCGCATCCTCTGCTAGATCAGCCCAGTGGAGTAAAAGTGTGCGGTATCGATCTTTAAAAAAAAAATCATCCTTTGACTATGTGAGCTATCATCCATGCCTCTAACCCCTGGTAAGGAAAAGTTGTGTAGACTCCCCTGCCTTCTGTTCGGTCTGTCCCCCTTCAGCCAGACTTCGAGCCCCAGCCTGGCACTGAAACCAGTCCTATCATCCATGGCAAGATGGATGCTGATGTGCCAACAGCATCCATCTTGCCAGTGGCCAGTTCTCGGCCCGCATCCTGGGCTGGCTTCCGGCAGCATCTCCCTGGCTCCATCTCCTGCGCAGATGTCTCCCTGGGGGCCGGGAGCCGGCGGGAGGGGCTGACGTGCTCCTTCTCTCCCCCAGGCCTGCTCTCCATGGCCAACTCCGGCCCAAATACCAACGGCTCTCAGTTCTTCCTGACGTGTGACAAGACGGATTGGCTGGATGGCAAGCACGTGGTGTTTGGGGAGGTCACGGAAGGCCTGGATGTCCTGCGGCAGATTGAGGTGGGTGGCTGCCCAGGCCCTGGGTGCGCAGCCCTGCGGGAGAGCTGGAGGGGGGCCACGGCTGCTCCCGGGGAGGGCTGCTTCTGCTCAGGTGGGGGCGGGCACCTGGGGAGGGTGTCCCTGAGCCCCTCCTTCCTTCCCACCCTCTTCCTCTTCTGTCCCCGCAAAGGCCCAGGGCAGCAAGGACGGGAAGCCAAAGCAGAAGGTGATCATCGCCGACTGCGGGGAGTACGTGTGAGTCTGCACACACTGTCTCTGCACTGCCCCTGCCTATCCAGGAGCCGTCAGCCTGGGAACCAGCACGTGAGGGTGTCTGTCCCCTTTGTGGCAAGCAGCGGTGTGTGTCGTGGCCCTTCTTGGGGGTCAGCTTGGAGCAGCTCTTCTGCAGACACGGCCCGGGCTCCCTCTGGCTCTCTCCCAGGTGTGGCTGTGGGCCCGGGAGCTTGCAGAGGTCCCCACTGTGGACGGGCTGTGCGTGACCTTTTCCAGGCCTTTGCTGCCACAGCTTCTCCTGGGTCCACCAGCAGGGCTCCTGGACATCGCTTCTGGCAAAATAAATCCTAGTTCTTGTACTGCGAGTCCAGCTAGTTCCTAGGAGTTGTGCGAGATTGCATCTCTGCTGAATTAGGCTGGCAGAGGGATAGGGTATAGCTTTTCTTTCCTCCCTTGGGTGGATTCCCTGAGATGCCAGGTGGTATATCTTCAAGCCAGGTACCCTTGTCAGACCATGGTCAGGACAGTGGAAATCAAAAATATCAAAGAAGTGTGTCTCCTGCTGCCTTCTACTCCTGAACTTCTGCTGGTCAGTCTTCGAGGCAGCAAGTGTACTTTATCACTCACAACGATTCATTTGTTTCTTCATATTCATTCTACAGAATTTTTTTTAAGTAAGCTCTGTGCCCACTGTGGGGCTTGAACTCCTGACCCTGAGATCAAGAGTCGCATGCTCTACTGAGCCAGCCAGGCGCCCCCATTCTACAGAATTTGTAAATGCTGTTTTATAACTCAGAGTGCCTTCTCTGTGCCAGGTACTGTGCTTATTTGTCCGGAGGCAGGAGGTCACCCAGCTCTGTGGGCCTAATCCAACCTGCTGCTTTTTTTGTGAGTAAAAAGTTATTGGAATACAGCCACATCCATCCGTTTACATATTACCTATGGCTGCTTCCATACCGCAGGGACAGATACTGTGTGGCCCTATGTTAGAGCTGTCCAGAGAAACAGAACCAGTAGGATGGGTGTAGATATGTAGATAGAGGGAGATTTATTTTAAGGACTTGGCTCCGTGATTGTGGGGGCTAGCAAGTTGGAACTCTGTAGGGCCGGCAGGCTGGAGACCCAGGGAAGAGTTGGTGTTGCAGTCCGGGTCTGAAGGCTGTCTGGAGGCAGAATTCCTCCTCCCTCGTGCAGTCTGTCTTCTCTCTCTTAACAGCCTTCCACTGATTGGATGAGGCCCACCCACATTGTAGAGGGTAATCTGTGCTACTTCCAGTCTGCTGCTTTAGACATTAATCACATCAGAAAAGTACCTTCTCAGCAACATCTAGACTGGTGTTTGACCAAAAACTGGCTATCATGGCCTAGCTAAGTTGACACATAAAATGAACCAATACAGCCTCAAAGCCTAAAATACTACTTGAACCTTTGCAGGACGAGTTTGCTGATGGCTGAAACACATGGTCCCACCCTGTGCTGAGCTTGGTCCTTCTAATGCAGCCACTGCTCAAGTCAGGCTGGCTTCTCTTCTCCATTCCCTCTCCACATACTGCTCAGCCAGGTGGTTTTCAAGAATCCCTTACCTGCTGAAGGCCCCGAGCAGGGGCTGAGCCCCATGGTCACTAGACACCTCTCTGTGGTTGGGTTACCAGGACCATTCAGAATCCATCGGGATGGGCTTTTTCATCTTGAGATCTGGACAAGCCAGACGTAGGAGAGGCCTGATGCCTCCTGGCCCTGGTGACCCCAGGAGCACTCCTGTGAGGGATGATGGCATTTTGCCCCTACCTCTGGCTTCTGTACCCAACGGACTCCCAGCCCTTGGCTGAGCTCCTGCTCAGGGTTCCTGTCTCCTTGTGGCTAGGATGTACCATATGGTTACCCTTGACCCTGTGGAGCTCCCAAAAGAGACCTTCCCTCAAAGCACAGGCCCCCCACTCTGAGGGCAGACTCTGGCCATCACGGGTCAGTCACCAGGAAAGGAGGTGTAGAAAGGGTGTAGTATGGCCACCTCCCAAGAGGGGCCTGACTTCTGTGACAATGACCTTGTTACTTTCTGTTCTTCCCTGATAGCACCCACTGGGCACCACTGCCCCTCCTGGTGCTCTCTGGAGTGTCCACAGGTGTTATCACTGTATCCACAGCAGAACCCTATACAGAGGGAAACCATGGCCCGGGTGACATGCCACAAAGTCACCCAGAATATGGCAGAGCTGGGACAGGAAGCTCGGCCTGCCTCCCCCTAGTTTAATGGGGTCCTGGGAGGTTTACTGGGCTCTAGCCTCAGTCTATGGCAGGGGGCCCAAGGCCCTGGGGGAAGACACGATCATGGTCCCTATAATTAGCCTGGACCCTTTGGGGAGACCCAAGGAAGCCAGGCTCTTCTCTGCCAGGCAGGAGGGGCCCAGAGCCTGGGGAGCAGCGGCCTGGCTGCCTGGTTCAGCTGTCACAGCACCAAACCTCTGTTGCATGCGAAGACTGCACCGTTGGAAGTGGACCGGAGGGTGCCATGCGGCCTTTGCTGTGGCCCAAGGACAGAGTGCCTGCCTCAGTTGCCTGGCTCCCATCCAAGGTGGCCTCCTGGTCTGTGTGCGTGATGCTCCGTTGCAGCAAACAGGGCTGGGTTTTGCCGGTGCGCGGACTCCTTCAGGCTGTGGCCCTGAGGTCAGTCCTGCGGGTGCTGGAGCTCCTGTCGGATTCAGGCACTGCGAGCTCTAGGCCCCAGTCACAACAGCCTGCAGCAACCCTCCCAGGAAGGCATTAGGGACCTACTTTTTAGTTGTGAACGCTGAGTCTCATAGGCTTTGGGGGTTAAAAACCTAGAAGGCCATGTTTTCAAAAAATATTTTATTAATAGGAAAATTTTTACTGCATAATAAAGTGGGAAAAGCGTATTTCAAAGCAATTTATATGACAGTATGATCCTAATTTTGTAAAAATATCTGATATGTAAACATCTGTATGTGTATATCCTAAGATAAAGGCCTAGAAATAAATTCACCAAAATACTGTGTTTATCTGAGTCATACAACTATGGCGATTTCAGTTGTATTTTTCCAGTTTTTCCTCCAAAACTGCATTATTTTTGTAATAAATGAAAAACCCATTTTTTAAAAGGGTGGGTGAAGCTTTGTACCTTAAGCAGGCTGGTGGGATCCCCTCGCCTCTGGGAACACAGGGAAAGCTTCATAGCCCTGGCCATAACCAGGCACTTTCCTTAGGCCTTGAAAGCAGGTGAGAATACAATGTTCTCCCTCCACGGAATGCAGGGTGTAGGTTTTTCAGGAAAAAGCTCAGCTCTGAAATAAATACTCCCATCACCTACAGAACACTTCCTAGGAGGAGGTTTAGTGGACAAGCGTGGAAAGGACTAAGCAGATCAGCAAATTCTTTTGTAATAATGCCAACAGGTACCCGCTGCTAAGTGTTTCTATGGCAGACGTTGTCCTACATGTGAACGTCCCTATCTGATCTTTATAATAGCTTGGAAGGAAGAACCAATATCCTGCTCCAGAGAAGAAAAACCAAGATTCAAACCCATTTGACTTCAAAATTCCTCTTGCTATGCTGCTTTCCTATTTCTTAGGGATTTTTCCAGAACGGGTCACTTTCCCACCTTAGAAAACCGTGAACACTAATATGCTGCTTGGCCTCGAGGCCAGCCTTGCACTGCCCAAACCAAGGCTGACTGCCGTGCATTTGTCCTCAGCCCTTTCCCACATGCCCTCCCTTCCTGGCAAGTCACTGACTCCTCGTCGCTCTCGGGTCTGACCAACTGCCCGTATCTATCCTTCCAGTCCCGTGCAACCAGATAAACAAGCCATGCCCTGAGTGAGAGAAAGGGAAACGGTGCCATCTGGGCCGCTCCCTGCAGCTGCCGTGCTTGGCTCAGCAAACTGATAACTGGGAATACAACACATGAAGCAAGTGCGTGCAGTATCATGCATAAATGGGATAAAATGCATGGGCCTCATATCCATTCACAATCGTTTCACTGCTCAGGGCTTTTTCTATGCGATCTCATTCAGTGACTGCGTGGATGGCAAAGGTTGCTGGAAGTCTGACCCAGGTAGGCAGGAAAAGGCTTATTTTTCAGCGGTTGGGCATGCAAAAGGAAGGTTATGACCTCCCGGCATCCGTGCCGTGCTCAGCCTGACAGGTGAGGTGCGCTCCCAGTCTATAAACCTCGGGAGTGATTTGACAGACATTCCTGGTGCACCCCTAATTGTGCCAGGCTGTTGGCTGGGTACCAAAGGTACCAGGTGAATTTAAAAATTGTTCAAATAACTGGCTAATGTTAAATTTATATTTGCCCAAAAGACAGTCCTCGATGTTAGGAAGACAGTAGTGTCAAAGGATTAGAATGGCAAACAGGTTCCCTATTACATACCAACTCTTACCTGTGACTGCCACCTGAACCGAGTTTGGGGTGCTGAGGCTGGATCTGGCTGGGCACAGTGTGAAAAAGTGCTGACAGATTCCTGGCAGGAGGCCCTTTGGAGACCCGAAAAGCTCATTGCCTTCAGGTTCGGATGGAAAATGAGGCCCAGACGGGGAAGCCACCACGAATCCGGTCTCCTAACATCTACGCCAGAGTTCAGATCCCTGCACTGATGGGGAACTCTCCACCTTGCAGACAGTCTGGGCCCACCCTCTGTGTACCCGGGGAGGGTCTCTCCCTCTGCGCTCGCTCCAGAGTCCCTTCCCGGTCCTGCGGAGGGGCCGCTGTCCTGCACCAGGGCCCCAGCATCCACACCCGCTGTCCCACCTGCTGTCCCGGGGCCCCTCCTCGGGGTGCCGAGTGACTGCTGAGAGGCGCATCCTGGGGCACATGGGGGGGTGGGCCCCCAAGCTGCTTTGAATGACACAGTATTTCAGGGTTCAGGCAGTGGGACTCTGTCTGCCCCAGCAGGTAACTTACAGGCTTAGCGAGTCAGAAATCAAACGCTCCAGTGGCCTGTGGCGGTTTCCAGGACCCTCCTCACCTGGGGCCAGCCTGATTACCGCCTGTCACGCCCCAGGGACAGGTGACCTTGTCTCGGGGTCACAGGTCTCGCTCCCGGGCACACAGGGCGATGCAGATTATGACAGCCTGTTTCTGACAACT